TTCAGAAGGTTCGCTAAAACAGCCATCACAGAGTAGTTTCCTACTCTCCAAGTTCATTGGTCCTCCTCTCGACACCATGCCGCCACGTTGGCCTGTCTTCGAAGCTCCTATCTCGCTACTCGGGGCCTCACATGGTTTTACGCCGGCTTACTGAGGTCACATATAAGATCGCTTCGTTGGACAGTCAGTCGTTGCACCCGCCATTGACCTCGTACACGTGTCCCGTCTCAAACCATACATCTCCGCATATGATCCTCTCCTTTTGGCGCCGACATTGCGCTACCGGCGGCGGGGGGTTATAATGATACAAGCCATCATTAACATCAAGGAATGAACCGTAAAGGAGACAAAGATGACGATTGAACAAAAGCTCGTGTGGTTGTTGCCACTCCACCATCTTGGTTCAAGGACACTGTGAACTTTGTGTACAATCTGTAAACATATTTCTACCCTATGCCTTCTCTCACCCGTGACAATATGTTACCTGACATCGACAATGAGAGAGAATCAGGTAGACGGTAAAGACGATGAATGCGATCGCGCTCGTATTGCTGTTGTTCCTCCATCTTGGCTGCAGCTGCCTCTCACTATTCTTGTATACTTTGGTATTATATTTATTTCATTCATACTTTCACACCCCTGACAGCATTTCCAAGCAGAGGAAATTATTTTCACTGTATTCGCAAACGCACACGTGGGGATTAGGGCAGGAATTTTACCTTGTAGTTCAATTTCCTAAAGCTCACTTTTCTGTAGAATAACTATACGTAGTATCGCCCCAAGTACTCAATAAAGATATACTAAATAAGCTTCTCTCGCCTCCATTGTACCAGTCATTGTGAATTGCGATCTTCCAGGCCACGGTGTGTTAAAACGAGTGCAAGAAATGTACATTCCACCAAATTAAAAAAAATATATTATAAGCTTCACTTTGGAACACTGCCGTAAACACATGTTTAAAAGCCTCGCCATGATGATGTAGTGATTAAAATACTCAGCTACTGACCCGCAAGTTTCCGGATCGAACCCCGGCTGCAGCGGCTGTATTTTCGATGAGGGCAAAAATGCTATAGATCCGTGTGCTCAGACTTGGGGGCACGTTAAAAAAACAGGTGGTCGAAATTTCCGGAGCTCTCCACTACGGCGCCTCTCATAATCATATGGTGGTTTTGGGGACGTTAAACCCCATATATCAATCACTCAACATGTTGAAAAAGCAAGGGTATACTTTGTTCCTTCTGCCAACGGTCGACTACGTAATATGCCGCAAACGATTGAACACTGATTTGTTAGCTGCGAAGAGGCACTTCTGTTTAGGAATGCCCTTCAGCGACCACTCAAAAACCGTTTCGTCATTAGTTGTCCCACCATACGTTACCTCCTACCGGCATCGCTTGATGAAGTGTCATATTACATGTTTTAAATGTTAAGCCTTTCTTAGCAAACTTCGGCGACTCTGAGCGTATCTACCTATCTATCTATCTATCTATCTATCTATCTATCTATCTATCTATCTATCTATCTATCTATCTATCTATCTATCTATCTATCTATCTATCTATCTATCTATCTATCTATCTATCTATCTATCTATATCTATCCATCTATCTATCTATCTATCTATCTATCTATCTATCTATCTGTCTATCTATCTATTTATCTATCTATTTATCTATCTATCTATCTATCTATCTATCAATCTATCTATCTATCTATCTATCTATCTCTCTGTCTATCTATCTATCTAGCCGCCTACGACTTTTCGCTCTCCTGGCCGTTTCGATAATGGTATCAATATCAAACTTGGTATGGCTTTACATGATTGTATGAAGAACATATTTGACTAGTCATAACATGAAAATCATGACATGGATGTTATGAATGTCATCATTTACATTTCGTGGTCCTGGAGCTCTTGCGGTGTTTTTTTCACTTGGCATGTTGCAAAACTGGTATGGTATGACATGATTGAATGGCGAACACAAGCGACAGACCCTAACATGAAAATCATGGCATACGTGTCACGTAAAAGCATCACCACATGCCAAGCTCGTGATGCGCTCGCGGCTGTTTCGCTAGTGTCACATAAACCAAATTTGGTATTACGGTACGTGATCGGATGACGAAGGTATGTGACTGGTGTCGACATGATAATCATGAAATGCGTGTCATGTAACAACATGACTACATGCCACGCTAATGATGCGCTGGTGGCCGTTTCACTAGATTTACATGTACCAAACTCGGTATTACGTGACGTAACCGGACGACATAGGTAAATCACACATACAAACATGATAATCACGACAAGCGTGCCATGTAACAACGTGACTACATGCCACTATCGTGAAGCGCTCGCGGCCGTTTCGCTAGCTTCACACATGCCGAATTTGGCATTACATGACATCAATGGATGATGAAGGTATGTGACTGGTGCAAACATGATAATAATGAGATGTGTGCCATGTGAGAACATGACATCTTGCCACAGTCAAGGCGCCAATACACTTCGATGTGACGCGGTGCGCATTCTCATCGGCGTTCATATCAACGCATTACGCCGGCGTTGGGACGCCAGGCGCCAATGCTGCCATATACTCGCAGGTGCGCGCCGCGCTGCGTTGCTTTGACGCATGCGTGTCTCAGCGCGTCCGGCGTTCCTTTGTCAGGAAAAGAGGGAGACGCAGTGTTGTCTGGGTAACGCATCGGCGAGAAACACAGCATGCCGCATTTCGCACCGGTTGCCGTTGGGCCGAGCTGATCGTGCCTGGCGTCATACGATAGAGTGTTCGCGTTTTCCTAACGTAACGTCGCTGTGCCCAGCGTGCGTGCGCGTCAACGCCGCATAGGAGTGTATAGGGACCCGGCAATGCAGTTTACGAGATGTGGTTGTAGCGCCAGAACGCACAGCCTAGCGAGTAGGAGCAGCAAAACCGAGTCTCCCCATGTGTAGGCTAGTCAGTAGACGCAGCAAAACAACGCCGACTTGAGCAAAACCGAACTTGCGCATGCATGCCATTTTCTTTTCTGGTTGTGAGCAAGGGGGTCATGGCTGATTATGTAAGCGCCCAGGAAGTTTTCTTTGAAAACGTGCCAAAAAGGGCACTGACCCTTCAGCGTGTCACTGTGCTCAGCGAGCGTTCCATTTTCTTAGTATCCCTGGCGGTCGGTACCAACAATGCTGAGGCGGCCCAAAGAGCTTCGTCGCTTCCTCTGGTTCACTGTCAGGTGCCTATCGGGCCCTTCATGATGTACTCACGGCCGTTTTGCTAACTCCACACATACCAAATTTGGTGTTAAGTGACACCAATGGATTAAGAAAGTATATGATAGTTGCAAACATGATAATACTGACAGGCGTCTCATGTAAGAACATGACAATATACCATGCCGACGACGTGCTCGCGGCTGTTTCGTTAGCTCCACATATACTAAATTTAGTATCACGTGACGTGAATAGCTGACGAAGGTTAACCACACATTCAAGCATGATAATCATGACACGGAAGTCATATAGGGCATCATTTACCTCCACTTCGTAACGTTGTGCTCATTTAAAAAGACATATCAAACATTCTTTTTCGTGCTTCGCATATAATCGACTCCCACTATACGTGGGATCTGCCAATTTTCTTTCCTAATGGGTATGCACAGCTTATGGAAGCCAGGTACGCAGTACCGCAATGCATAACCCACCGCCTCTTCAAGCACACACTTCATTCAAATGGCTATTCACCTAGAGGACGTGTATGCTTCCTAGGTTTTAGACTGGACTAGTACTCCAGCTTGATGAGGTGTTCGGCCTCAGCCCTTTCTTGCTTGTATAACACGATGTGAAGAACTCCCGATATGAAGAACTCATGCTGTGTTAGCCATTGCGTGTTTCTTAGTAATACTTGGGCACTTAATTTCGCCATCTGATTGTACATTTGTTTGCTTCATTTTGTCTTTATACGCAAATCCTTTGTTAGTAACCAGATGCGTGGATGTGTGGTAGAACACTTGTTTAACACGAAGATTACCCTGGTTTGATCCCTACTCGTGTCCAGAACTCTTTTGTATTTACTTTATTTGCACCTTTCTGGATTTTTCGGTCACGCAATAATAATTATTTTTCGCTCTCAACCAACGACGCCAACATTGATGCCAGAATTTCTGCGAAACGAGCTCTTTCGTGCTGTCGCGTTAAAACTGAGCGGCAGAAGCATCAGCAGTGACGCAGAGACAATCTTGTGTTACTATCTTGGCTAATACCTCTACAACTTTTTTTCTTTTTCGACTTCATTGTGCTATGCTTTGATTTCAGTATGTACCAACTTGCCTATCAAGCAGCACTCTTGCTGAAGAACACTGAGTTTCACGACTGTTCAAGAACTTGCAGTCATATGCTTGCAGTCATTCAATAATAGTAACTCTGTAGGCAAATACACAAATATCTTCTCCTCATTCAGACAAGGCAGCTTATTGAGCTAAATTATTTGCTCAAAATTTCTCCCACAATATGAAAATTGCCTTGGACAGATACATCACATTTGGTCGCACATAATTTGAATAACTCTTCACAATATACTTCCATGTGGCTGAATACACATCGAATTTTACTAGTGTATGTCACAAATAAAATGAACGTCTGTCACGTGCATGTGCTCGCAGAAGAAGTAGAAGTTGGCGCACCCTCGTGCGTCTCATGCGCTCGCTCCCGCTTCGTTCTAGGACGACGTCCACTTGGCGAGTATCGGTCTGCCGAATTCTCCAGCAGCGACTCTCACGGGTTCTACATGGCGTGGATGCCTTCTCCTGCATCCCCAGCGAAGTACTTCGCAGAGAACTAAAATAAACCAAAAATCCTCAGTGATCCCAACTCAACCGCTTGTATGGCAGTCAGCGGCTCGCTCTAAGTGGGCAGTGACGTGGACCGCGAAGAAGCGCAGCAGGGCGCCAACGCCATCGGCGACGGCGACTTCCAGAGATTTATCTTCAGCTTCACCAACATCACGCGGATGGGGCTACTATGCCACAGCAACGTAGTGGCTCTTATCAAGGATCCCCTCGACCACTGGTGCAAGCCGCCGCCCGACCACGCCGGCATGCTGGCAGCCCAGTGGAAGAACGTCGGCATCTTCACCGACGAAGCAGGCCGCTTCAGCCAGTGTAGAGCGTTCGTGCGACCTGGTTCCGCTTCTAACGACACGGAGACCGTGCCGTGCGACTCCTGGGACGACGACCCGTTCGAGACACGTAGGAGAGTCCGCAGCTACTGGGACCTCGTTTGCCAACGCAGCTGGCTTCTGCCCCTGGGCAACGACGTCTTCAGGAAGGGTGCGCTCATAATGGTTCTGTTCATGGACTATCTGGCTGACAGAAAAGGGTGCAAGCCGGTAATTGTGCTGTCGTCGTTCGTGCTCCTGGTGAGCGCCATCGCGAGCTGCTTCGCCGACGCGTACCCCGCTTACCTAGCGCTAATATACGTCGACTCGGCCTGCGCCAGCACCGTCCACATTGTCACCACGATCCTCCTGTTTGAGGTGTCGCCCGTGAAGTACGGCACCTTCTACCAAGGTCTCTGCAGCTTCCTGGGCGTTGTGTTCGTCGAGTTGCCATTCGTCGTCGTCACCACCGTCCGCATCACCTGGTTAACGTTCCAGCTGCTGATTGTGGCGCCCACCCTGCTGCTCCTCTCCGCAACGTTCACCATGTACGAGTCACCCATGTGGCTCCTCGCCATGTCCAGACTGAAGAAGGCCGAGAGAGTAATCTACATCACAGCCAAGATGAACGAGATGCTTCGAATCCACACCAAGAAGGTCCTCGACCGTATCCAGTTCGAGACGACCAAAGCGAGTGAGCCTCACGCAGTGGTTGTGTCCACAAAACTGCTGCTCCCCGGCTTGCGTCGTGGCAGGGATGGCGTGGTGTCCGTCACCACGTTAATTGTCATGCCGGCCTTCTACTCACTCACCTGTAACCGTAGACTGGGTGGAAGCAGTAACCTGGTGGTGCGAGTCATTTACGTGGTGGCCCTTGTTCCCACCTACGGTGCCATGTACGCGGCGCTCAACGCTGTGGGTCGCCTGCACCTCATGCTGCTGCTCTTTGCGCTTCTAGGTGGAGTTTCGGAGCTCTACGGCATCACTACGTATGAAGATCCACGGGAAGTCGGGTGTGCGCTCGCCATAGCGAATAAGTTGGTGATAAGCGCCACAGTGCCCCCCCCCCGCTACACATACATGGCCGAGTTGTTCCCGTCGTCGGTGCGCAGTGCCGTCATGTGTGGTGCATACACGTGCGGCCGCGTCAGTGCCGTGTTCGCCTACGTGCTTGCCCCCTTCCAAGATGTCGGTCACGAGGAATTAAGCTTCGCGTTCTTGGCGATAGTGGTCTTCAGAGACTTGGTGGTGTTACTCAGCTTGCCTGAGACGACCATCGGTGGCGCCGTGGACGTAGCTGTCACCACCATATACGGCAACCGCAGAGACTTCCTGGGTGTCGCGCAGAACTCGCTGATCACCAGGCTGAAGAGGAGGAAAATCAGACGCAGGCCTGCGAGCATCGCGTCGACAGTGGACTGTGGGGTGGGGTCGCCCAAGCGTTGAAAACGCTGCCACTAGCCATCGAAACTTGAACGCGACATCCAGCGTTTGTATAAATTTGAACAGGCTAAGCACACGAAAGAAGCGGAGAGAGAATAAGCAGGGGGTACAAAAATAGTCGTTCGTAATTTCGTTTCCTCATCCGGGTAATTTCAGTATTGAAGCTTTAAGGCATATTTTGTTTATTTATGTAAAAACCCTCCTTTCTATTCGTCTTCCTAGCCTTTCGTGTATGTGTGATCATTTTTAGAAAGTACTTTGCATGTCTTTGCACGTTAAGAGTAGCCTTCCAGCAAGTGAATGAAGCAGTGTTGTTCATTCGAGGAAACTGCACGTTCCTTATGGCTGTGGTAGGTATCCTTGTTTAAAACTGAACTGCTGCATCAATGTATATAGGCAAGCGACTGCTGCGCACTGAAGTGCGCGATGCATTAACGAGAGCCAATGGGTGCGTATCTGCGCACACGCGCTATTCAGCTCGTAGTGGGAAGCTTTATTTCGGGCAAGAAATCCCGTTAACATTCGTAATAAAGCGTTTCAGAACAGCAAAATGGCAAAGGGGCGTCACATAATGCGAGTTGCATGACGATCGGGTTGTTGAATTCTCCAAACTACTACAAAACCGCAGGCAGAAGTCATCAGGCACCGCTTCAACAGAAGTTCACGTGATGGCTTGCACGTGTGTGCAAGCACCACGTTTTTCGGAAGATTGACGAATGATTGTGTACGGAACTGTTAACTACGAAATATAAATTGTATTTTATTGTATAGTGAGCATAAAATGCAAGTATGTTTGTATTGCCCCAAGAGTGTTTAAAAAGGGGTCTGGAGAGGCCGCCTATCCAGCTTTCGGTGTGGCTCTTGTGTGCTTTACACGCCGGCACCTGTTGTAGTTTTTTTTAAGACGATAGTCTTTCTTGGGGCGCTACTTCGACAAAAAAATTTTGGTCTGTCTTCCATTCGTCCGCCGTAACGATACCCCAAAAGGCACTAAACGATACTCTAAACAGCCAACCCCATCCGCAGCACCCACCAATATTGCACCCACCAAGTTTCAGTGTTCATGCTTGTGCGATTTCCAATTAAAAAGCAATTATTGCGCATATTTGAGGCACCATAACAACACGTCAATATTTTGTATGGGTATCTTAACACTAAAGAAGGCATACATAAGTAGTTCAGAGGACCGTAGCGTTCATCACGCTGCGCTGACAATGCAACGCGACGCTAAAAAAGGCAGGTGTTTCCAACGCTTTGCTAAGACGACACGGTGGTGGCACCTGCCCGTCACTTAGCGTTCTACACCTTATCGCCTCCAAGACAGGGGCACACACCTTCATTTATTTTCGAAGATAACTGCCAGATAGCGCTCGTGTCTAACGTGCCTCGATGCACTCGTTCGTCTTCGCTGCACGGATCGAGGCTGTCTAACGCAGCGCCTACAGAATACAATTCACCGATTTTATAGTTGAAAGAGACATTTAAAACTTGCCTATTTCGCTTGTACATCTAGGGTAGCAAATCTAGAAATAAGTAGAACGTATAGGTTCCTACACCTAAATTTGTTGTGGATGAATCGTGCAGCCTTCCTCCATACTACTTTTATTTATTATAACAGTGGGGTTGTGAGCAGCCAGACTGCACTTACGTATTCGAGGATTGGCCTCCTGGATGTTCTGTAAACTAGGGGCCGTTTTGACATGGTGCTATGGTGGTCATTTGAAGAAATCTTGAAGAAATCCGCGAATATATATATATATATATATATATATATATATATATATATATATATATATATATATATATATATATATATATATATATATATATATATATATATATATATATATATATATATATATTCGAGGTCTTCATCTCATCTGGGATAGTGGCAATCTACCAGTCATTATTTGAGTTTGCTCGCCGACTGTGCTCCACTCAATTCTTATTTTTCTAGTTACTTTTATCTCGTGGTTCAGCTCCGCCGTGATTATTGGCTATCCTAAGTAGACGTGGTCGTTTACAACTTCAAAGTGCTATTATCTATCTCGAAGTCCTGTTCACTTCTGAGGATGTTAAACATTAATTTCATTTTGTGCTGATTAATTTTAACAAATGCCTTCTGCTCTCCTTGTCTATTTCAGTAACCATGAGTTGCAATTCGTCGGCTGAGTTACTCCGAAATGCAATGTAATTTGTGAAGTGCAGGTTCATAAGTTACTCCCTATTAACTATTATCCCTAACTCTTCCCATTCTAGGCTTTTGAAAACCACATGTAAGCACGTGGCAAGTAGCATAGGGCAGATTGTATTCTCTTGTCTTACACCCTTCTTGATTGGCATTCTGTCGCTTTCTTTATGAAGTACTATGGTGGCAGTTGATCCTCTGTAGATTTCTTCCAGGATGCTTATATATGCTTCGTTGACACACTGATTTCGCAGTGTGTGCATGACTGCTGATGTTTCTACTGAGTCAACAGCCTTCTCGTACTCTATGAAGGCTATGTATAAAGGCTGGCAGTATTCTAAGTATTTCTCTATTACCTGATTGATAATATAAATGTGGCCGAATGTTGAGCAGCCTGTTCTCGTTTGCTTCCTTCTTATTACCTTTACTTGCTCACTATTTCTCCTCTTCTTTTTATGCAGGGCTTCAATCTAGCCTTCTCCTTTCCCACCTTCTCACCATCACAACTCTCTTTTTTCGTTCCCTCTTGCTACACTATACAGAGCAAGACTATGCGATGCTCTTCTAGTACACACTAAAAATATATCGATTACAAAGGGTGTCTTTTCGTTCCACAACAATAATCGTCATCAGGCTTGCGCGCGCTTCTTTTCTTGAACACTGGGCGCGGGCCACTTTCCTATTGAGAATGCAATGTAACCCTGACAATGGGCATGTCGATCGTGACCGGAATGTACGGGGCGCGGGGCCATAGCGCAAGGATAGAACGCAATATAGATGACGGTTAATGTTTTGGGACAAAAAGACACCCTTTTTACTCGCTCTTTTTTAGAGTGTAGTCCACGATCACCTAGTTAGTTGTATGCGATTGCTTTCTTGTGAAGGGTATACTCGAGTTCGAAGCCTGTCTCACGAAGAATTTTTTTTCCAGAATGTGCCTCTTTTTTCGTATTGCTTTCGATCTGTCACTATTTCTCTTTCTGTCTCTCTCTCTGTTCTCATTCTTTCAATGATCAGGTTTATAACAGGCCATGCCCGAGAAACCTGTTGACACTCTAAAAGGTCTGGCAGAATGGCAGAAAGGGACAAGGTTAACAGAACTCGTTCACCTGCTGGCGTTCAACCGGAAACGTGAGAGGGCTTAGCGTTGTCACAAATGCCTCGCTTTATTGAGGCTACGAAGCTTTGGTGTTTTCTTTCGTAGCTCGATATGGAAGCATCACCGCAATTACGACTTTCAGTGCAGCTCGGGTTAGGGTGCCCGTGTTATTTTCGTTGCGTTTCGGGAAACTGAGCGTGAATGAAAAGTACAGTGAAATAGACAAGAAAAGATCTATTGAACAGGGTAGCAAAATACTTCCGCCAATTTATCTAGTCTAGCCGCAAAATTGTAGCTGTATAATCCCCTTGCTCAAGGTCTTTTCTAAAGAAAGGAGATGAAAGAAATAAAGCATTTTGAAAAAAAGAAGGTGAAATAAGAAGCGGGGGGGGGGGGGGGTTCGTATATATATGGGCACTATCAGTCCATGCCGACACACCGACTGATCTTTGTCTGCAGTGCAAAGGATCATTCTCGGTTAATCCGCATCACCCGCCAACCTAAACGGGAGAAACATGAAGGCCTTGGTAAGATTGAAACTCTAGAATCACTCGTGAACGCCAACTATTCTTCAGGTAAATTGTGTGCAAGTGTGAGCAGCATTTAGAAATAAGTGGGGAGTAAAAAACTTCATTGCTCACAGTCATCAATACATTCGTAGTTTGGCCTGCAAACATGTAAAATTCTATAATTTACATTGCAGCGACTAGTTGGCTTAGGAACAAAAAGTATTTCAAGAAAGTATAGGGGGCAGTCATGTTAAGTCAGATACCATGATATTCTGACAAGACTGTTCAGCAAAGGTTCCTTAGCACGAACCATCACCCGAATGAACTATTATCGCAACTCGATGTTGCCCATGTACGTACTTTGTCAAATGCATTGTTTCCCTTTTCCTGCGGTTCGCACAATTTCGCGATCATGCAGCATTGCGATGTTCAAATGAACCGAATCTGTATTTCTTAAATTGATAGAAGGCTAAACTCGTTTGTAGTCATTCGTGATAAAAAACGGTAGGAGCAAATAGAAACACACACAATAAAAATTCAGGACAACATCTCGGCGTTTGCATTCTATTGACTATTCTCTATTGTTCGTGTGTGAACGCCCACGATCTTTAATCACGAATCTTATTTCTTCTTATGTACACTTCAAGAAAAGTGGAATACCTGAATGCGCTGATCGCCTCGCCGAAACCTCTGCATAGCCGTACTATGTAGCTTTACAGAGAAACAGAGAAACAATTTTTATCAGGCCCTGAGGGACTAGGCGAGAAGAACCCATTGGATCCCTCGGCTCACCACTGACTGCTCCCCTGTTGGAATCCGAAGGTCATGCCTATCCGCTCTTCCAAAGGCCAGCTGGGCTGTGTTTCAATTCTTGGGCAGCACATAGACAGTCTACGCAGACTGCTTAGAAGACAGCACCGAGCCCATGCTGCCCGAAAATCGGAACACGTTTGGACGGCTTTTACGCGATCAGGCACCACCTGGCGTCGAGAAGAAAAATCCAAAATGAACAAACGTAACAGTTGTATTTTCCGGCTTGATTTGTGCATAAATCTGAAAAAATAAACGTTACTCATATTGAGCTCCTGGGGAAGCGTCTGCTTGTGTGAAGACGACCATTCCGACCAGATTTTATCTATCTCAGCGATTCGCTGAGTCTCCATCTTGTTTAGACAGCAAAGTAGCCTATACATCGTATTTGTCTACGATGCGGTCTTCTCGGAGCTGTCTACTTTGCCGGCTACGTGAAAATCGGAATGGGACTTAATATGGCCACCGTCCATTTAGCTGTCTATTTAGCCGTCTACGGTGAGTATTGGAACTCACCACTGGAAAGCATTTGATTTGATTTTCAGTATAGTAATTGCGATGGCTCCTTCCCACTCCTGTTCACTAGTGTGTACCTTGCCCCGTAACGCAGCACACTGTCAGAGCATGCATGCTAGAGAACTAAAATCCTCTCTGCAGTCCGGGCACTGCGGGTCAATATTGCTGTATATCCAGCTTAGAGAGCCTCTCAAGAGATATGACCTCCTCAGAAGCATCCTATGGTGATCACTTGAGATCTGCATACTTTTGGAGTGGAGGCGGGAAGCACCTGCGTTCCTCTCTATATTGAGGACGAACTCGTGAAAGGTCAGTAAAAAGCTATTTCTGTTCCTGACCTCCTCTGAATCCAATGAAGCTTCTCCGCCATCCCAGCGCTTGAGTAATCGCACACGGTTGTCAGCCACCTCAGTGCAATTCTGACGACCCGGCAGCACGTCGTCGCCCATGTGAGCAGCAAACTACGTCATCTACGTCAGCAGAATTCGCGGTTGTCTTGCTTTTCATCAGCCCTGCCGCCTCTTTAGAAACCATTCCCGAGATCAAGACCCTGAAGCTACTCCGCAGTAAGTGTAGATATGCGGCCGTCTAGAATCCTGCATTGCCAGCCCAACCGCCACCCTTTTTCTTTCCTGTGGCTGCGTGGTTCGTGGAATGAGAGTTAATTTGCCGGTGCTAGTGCTCAATCTAGTGTTCGCACGCAATTATCTACAATGTATATAACGATGTCAGCATGTGATAAATGCGTGCATATTCCATTACTGCTACGAACCTTTATATGCACCTGTCGTCTGTGCTCTATTATAAGTCACATTTCAGTACATTCTATTTTTGAATCGGAGAGTCAGTGTTCGTGCAAGTAAGTCAGTCTTCGTGCAAGCGCAAAAATTTTTGGCTATAAATTTCGGGGTAAGTGAACCAATGAAATCTTTTGCAGCTGTCCCTGCTGGCCCTCTGCGTCGTGGTTGCGACCACCATGGCAGGATTCTATGGAGGCTACGGCGGCTATGGTGGCTATGGTGGTTATGGTGGCTATGGTGGCTACGGTGGTTACGGTGGCTATGGCCACGGCTACGGAGGATATGGTGGTTACGGGGGATATGGCGGCTACGGAGGCTACGGTGGATATGGTGGCTACGGAGGCTACGGAGGTTATGGAGGATACGGTCACGGGGGCTACGGCCATGGTGGTTACGGCCACGGATACGGATACAAAGTTATTAGCTATGGACACGGTAACGGTGGCTACGGTCATGGTGGTTACGGCCACGGATACGGATACAAAGTCATCAGCTACGGACACGGTCACGGCTACCACGGCTGAAATGTGCCCTCTTGTATATTGAAATAAATTGCGCAGTAAAAAAAGTCTGCAACTTTGACAAATATTCACTCATTTAGCAGGGTCCACTGTACGTGAGCTGAAGGTACCATGCTCGCTCTCTACGCACTTGGAAAAACTGAGTAAAGGGCTCAGAATGCTTTCGAAACTCTTTCTAACAAATATAAAACCATAAAAAAGCTGTTGTCGTGTGGAGTCAACGTTCCGTCTTATTTTCTTCTAGCCAGCAACTGCCTTGATGAATACAGCAGCCGTTTTTCAAACGTTGCCCGAAGTGATCAGTCCTGTTCAATGATATTCCACTAGCGCTGGCTGAGGCACTGACTGCAAAAATTACGAGCAGTGTTTGCATTGTGTGCTAGCATTGTTAGCGAGGAGTGACAGTTGCCTCTCACAGTGATAAATTCCTTATCTTGTTCGCCCCGTGATCGTACTGATCACGCGCAAGCGGTGCGCGCGCACCATTGAGGCGGCACTGGTAAAGAGAGAACCCACAGCCTCGAGCGGCCGCCGCCACGAGTCGTCTACGCAAGCATGCCAAGCGGCTGACCGCAAGACAAACCCTGCAGCACCCTGAAACGTGGCTGCGTATTTGTTATTTTAAAACGCCTGTTTTATGATTACGTCCCGTGAAATTATACTGATCGAACTGTATCCGATTTGCAGCACAGAATGAACGGTGTGGCCGCTAAAGGCTGAGCTGGTAACATCTGACGCGTTATATTCAACTTGTAAGCCAGTAAAACAAGGTACTGCGTTTGGGCTCTTTTTTACGCATAAAGGCAGAGATCGTCCTGTGTTTGACTTCAAAAAGAAAGACGAAAAAAAAAAGAACTAGAAAGCACCTTTTTGAGATAGCTATCTTGAACTACGGTGTTTTCAGTAAGCCAAGTTCCTTTCCCCAATATATTTCCGGTTTTCCCCGATATTTCTGACATCCGTCTGTATGCGGATTAATATATGCTTCATTTTTCAAAGAAAACGCTGGTGCGAAAATCAATACGTGACGAGTATATTACGGTTATTTTAATTGGCATGCAGGAATACATTTCCTAAATAGACTTACTTTATTCGGCTTACAATATAGTAGCTTTTTCTCTCTACAGTCCTTTAACGGCGAAAAAATTTTAATAAAGTACTCCTAAGAATAAAGCCCATTTGTTCACTGAAGAGACTAAATACTGTGATCCACACTTTCGCTGTTTTTTCGCTAGGTGGGCTCAAATTTCAGGGTTGGCGAAAAATGGCCAAAAGCATGTTTTTTCTGCCCGAATTTTTACTTTTTTTCAAGCCAGCACAAATTTTTTATCAAAATATAGCTTCGAAATACTTGTTCGGGGTCTAAAAACTGGGCCTACAGTATGTTTTAACGAAATAGAGAGTGGTGAGCAGAACCCCGTGCTCGTTTTTTTTTTCTGACAAAGTGCGCATGACGTTCTAATGTAGAAACCAGGTTTCGTGCTACAGCACCAAACTTGGTTTGTACATCAAAATGTACCTCAGGAGGCCCTAAATTGTACATCAAAATATCTCTTAAGAGCCCTACATTTTCACAATATATTGTTAACATTTAACAGCTCCTGGGGGACATTTTCCACTGAGGCAAAACTGTTCCCAATTCTTGGCTGTTTATTGGCAATTTACTAGTGGACCTCTATACACTATATTCATAACATCCACAAGCACTAGCATGAAAAGTCTAGAAAAACCACAAGGGGGGACTCAAAATAAGTCATGGCGGAGTTTTGAATTTTGGTTGTACATTTGCTTAGGCAGGTACTAAAGAGGAATTTTTAACAAAATTCAAATGAGCGTGGCCTTTGAGCTCGAGTATTCTATTCAGTTAGCTTTGAACCCATCGAGCGGCTTACGCGATTTCCATAGTCTCATACTTCTGAAAGGTACTGAACACAAGCATACACTAAAAATATTCAGCCTTTAAAAAATTAAAGACTCTATACCCAACTGACAATTAACTCGGATATATGTATTCTGCTAAACCTAAATTTCTAGATGGACACTTGCAACAGAGGTCTCCTCCCCCCAGACTGAACACAAAGTTTGCAGCACCCATTATCCTCCATGATTTATGCCACTACCCACGAGAATAAGTGAAACGTGTCCATTTTTATCAATTCCTCACGCGCTTCCCCCGCGCTCCAAGGAATGAAAAAAAATTGCTTAAACTACTTATCTGCTATTGTAGGAGGCACTGGAAAAACATAAAAGGAAGCGCATTGCACAACCTAAATGCATTTCAAAGGACACCACATTATTGTAATATTTTTTGTAGCACTTCAACAGAAGGTGGTGCAAAACGGACGCCCAAATAAAGAAAAGGAATTCTCATTTCACCTGCAGTAAAAATCAATTGTACTGATGATGATGATGATGATGATGATGATGATGATGATGGAAACTTTGTTTCTTACAAAGGATGGGACTGAACCTGAGATTGGCTACGCTGCTTTGAGGAGGTCAGCGGGAATACCTTGGGACACCGCGGCCTCCAATGCACGTGATGTTACCTAGCATTGCTGTGCCGAGTGAGACACCTTGTCGTATCAGAAAGAGAAACTATAGTTCAATTAACACTGTAAGAGAGGATATATGAAATGATCTGTACAAGTGTATCTCCTCTAAACGAGCCAAAACAAAGAATGAAACATTTGCGCACCGCTTGCGGCTTGGCACAGCATTTGTCATTCTTCCTACACACGACAAAAAGTGATTCAGAGATATTGTGGTCATTCAGGAAAATATAGACATCATCTTGTTCTGAAATTCACGAAACGTGGTACAAAAAGAAATGTACCGAGAGTGATTTGTTACATTAAAGTAGAATATTATCTCTTAAAGAAAAAGAAAAAGAAAACAAAAAGAAATGATTATCAGTTTGAAGAAATTTTCTCATGGGGACAATATTTTTTCGAAAGAGCCAGTTCAGGCCACCCTGAACGCTAAACCTGAAGCAGAAACTTGGTAGCTTGCAACGAGGGTACAACTTCTTTTGCAGACGACGCAGCGAGGATAGGCGAGGAAAACCATGTATGTGTAACATTAAGAAATAGGAAGAGAGGAGAGTGGGTGAGGAAACAAACGTGAGTGGAAGGCTTCATAGTTGAAATCAAGAAGAAGAAATGATAATGGGCCGGGTAAGTGGCACGTAGGCAGGATAACCGTGGGGCCTTGAAGGATTGGATTGCCCCACCGCAGTGGTCTAGTGGCTAAGGTACTCGGCTACTGACCCGCAGGTCGTGGGTTCAAATCCCGGCTGCGGCGGCTGCATTTCCGATGGAGGCGGAAATGGTGTAGGCCCGTGTACTCAGATTTGGGTGCACGTTAAAGAACCCCAGGTGGTCGAAATTTCCGGAGCCCTCCACTACGGCGTCTCTCATAATCATATGGTGGTTTTGGGACGTTAAACCCCACAAATCTAATCTAATCTTGAAGGATTGGATTACATCAAAAGGCAAACACGTGAGAGGGAGGCAGGAAATTGGATGGGTAGGTGAGATTAGGAAGTTTGCAGCAATAACGCGGTGGCAGAAAGCACACGACCAGGTTGATTTGCGGAACATTGGAGAGGCTTTTGCCCAGCGGTGAGCGCAGTGATGTTGATGATGGTGACGACGACGATGACGACGATGATGATGAAGATCAAGGAATGAACAGACGCACGCACGGACGGGCTGATGGACGCATGGATGGTCACACTGACGGACGCATGGACGGACGGAAGCAAGAACGAATGGACGGACGAATTCTTCACCCCACTCTCCATCTTTCAGTCCGTGGATATGCTGCCATTTTTTTACGGCTTGCGCTTCGTATCTACTTCCCACCTTCAACCATTTCGGGTTCATTCATGGTATATACTAGTTCACTGTATTCATGGCACTGCGGCCGAACGCTCGCTAAACCTTTCGAAAACAAAGGAGGTTACGCCCAGCGAGTATGACGTAGCAAACTTTTTCAGTCAGATAGTGCTCAATGTACATGCCAATGGCTGCTAATGGGAAATGAGAGGCGGAGAATTCGGCTTTTACTTTCTTACGGCTTGCGCTTCGTATCTACTTCCCATTTTTAACCACCTCGAGTTCATTCATAGTATATACAAGTTCATTGTATTCATGGCACTGCGGCTCAACGCTCGCTAAACCTTTCTAAAGCTAAGGAGGTTACACCCAGCGAGTATAACGTAGCAACCCTTTCTTGTCAGATAGTGCTCAATGTACATGCCAATGGCTGCTAATGGTGATCGCAGCCTGCGCGTTAACTAAAAGCCGAATGCTCCTGTCTCTCATTCACCATTAGCAGCCATTGACATGTACATTGAGCACTATTTTTTATTGTTCAACAACGCACAGAAGAAGTCTCTCACCGGCACCACCTTGGAGGTCAAAATGTTATACTTGTCACATACTACGGGGCACGAACGGGTGCCGCTATAAGGAGCTTCGCCCGGTTTGCAAGTGCTAAGGACGTCCCTGATCGTTCTACGTCAGGGGCGTCCGCAGTACGAGTCATAGTGCCCGTCGCGTCTTGGACGCCTTCGAAGGCGCTTGTCTTCGACGTTGTTGTCCCTACGGGGACTAGTGCCGAGACCGTCGTTGATGCGACGGCCTCAATAGTCCGCCTCTCAGAGGTATACTGCGTGCAGCATCAGGGAGCTCGAAACTTTCAAGTCACCGTGAAGATCATGGCATCCATGTCTCTAATCGTCAATGCTGGCTGCCTGGTGATTGGCGGCGAGCGTGTTCAAGTCGTTCCCGTTGGCCCACAAGTGACCAACGTCGCCTGCCTGTTCCTGCCATCGCTCGTCTCAAACGAAGCTCTCGTCCAAGCGTTATCCCTATATGGCAAGTTGCTCACTGTCACCAGTGATTTGATGAGCGGGCGACGCGGCGTACTCACTGGAACGCGGTATGTTCGAGTGGAGATGAACGCCGCTAATCCTGTGCCGAACTACCTGCGCATCTCCGGTCACCGTGCTACGTTTGGCTACC